TCGGGCTTCGCTACGTTGATGACAGTTTTGCTCTGTGGCCTCATAACACTAGCCTGTTCCAGCCATTCCTCTAATCTCTTAACCATCTGGCTCTTATCAATTTAAAAGTTGAATATGAATCTAATTCCCTCCTGCTTATTCTAGACGTTCATGTTCACACTTCTGTGTCTGGTTTCTCTTTCTCTGTGTATCACAAGGCTATGCACAGTGGTACGTACATTCACCTCTTTTCCTACCAGTGTTAAGAAAGGAGAGGAAACCGAGTACCCAGATGAGCCACAGAGACGTTAGAAGGAACTTTTTCAGTGTCAGAGTAGTTAACGGATGGAATGCACTAGGCAGTGATGTGGTGGAGGCTGACTCCATATACAGTTTCAAATGTAGATATGATAGAGCCCAGTAGGCTCAGGAACCTGTACATCAGTTGATTGACAGTTGAGAGGCGGGACCAAAGAGCCAGAGCTCAACCCCCACAAGCATAACTAGGTGAGTACATGCACGCATACAGACATATACACACACACGCTTGATTATTCCCAGGGTTTGGTTAGCTTTTTAGTGCCGCTGCCGCTTGCTGTGCAACATTGAGTGAATGATGGAGTCCGACTCCGCGGTACTTTTCTTCATCTATCTGTTGTAGAGTAGTGTTGTATATTTGGCAGTTGTAACGTGGATTGTTGTGCTCCACATGTAAGCTCGGTCCTCGACCCGGCCTCCTGTTTGTTACACATCCCCAGGAAGCACCCCGTACCAGCTCTCTAACTCCAAGGTAACTATCTAATGCTAGGTGAACAGACGCATCAGGGTGAAAGAAAGTGTGCCTATTTGTTTCCGTCTCCACCAGGGATCGAACCCGGAACCTCAGGACTACGAATCCGAAGCGCTGTCCACTTAGCTGTCAGGCCCCATCTGGACTACTATATAAAGATAGCTAGATAAAAATATAGGTACCATATAGAGATAGCTAGATAGAGAGATAAATATATACAGATAGGTAGAGATACAGATAGGTAAAGAGAGAGAGAGAGAGAGACCTTTACAATGCCGGGTAGCCCCCCCCCCCCTAGTCTATGCTATGAGAGATAATGTGTGTCTGTCCAAAGTAAAAGCCCAGATGCTTGTAGCGAGCCTCACCTAAATTTGCAAGGGAAATAGGGCGGACCTGGGCTGGTCTAGGTAAGCCTGAGTTAAATTCTTTAAGAAATATCAGCAATTTTAAACATCCTCCCGAGGCCATTTTCCTGGAGTCGAGTGTGAAGTATGGCGTGTGATTAACGTGGAGCTTGTAGTACTTTGGCAGTCTGGCTCTTCACTCTTGTGTTAATGATGTTATCCTCATAATGCACCCGGAGTGTGCCAGTGTAGACTACTTATCACGTGCCTGTATGACTAACCATCCTGTGTGATGGGGATTTTAGCACCACGCACCTTTTTGACACACTGTTCCCCCTTCATATAGTCTACAGCAGCTGCACAAATGTACACGTACCTAAATGTGTTAATAACAAAAAATGGTCTCTGGGCGGGTTCCACTCAGCAATGTTTGAAATGTTTACAATTGTTTCATGTTTATTCAGTTATTTTTCGGTTATAAATATTAATTTGGTGTCAGAATCGTTGGAAATATATTCTCTTGGAGAAGTGTTTCTCAACCGGGGTTATCTTGAGATAGGTTATCTTGAGATAATTTCGGGGCTTTTTTTTTTAGTGTCCCCGCGGCCCGGTCCTCGACCAGGCCTCCACCCCCAGGAAGCAGCCCGTGACAGCTGACTAACTCCCAGGTACCTATTTACTGCAAGGTAACAGGGGGGTCCTGCGAATCCCAAGATAACTTGGGGGTTCTACAAGAGATAGATATAAGTAGGCTAATTCTAATCATATGCAAATGTATTTTTTAGAAATGTTGTCCTTATTTAACCAGTATCGAGAGACAGAAATCGTCTCCTTTTCAGTTGACAATAAAGTCCGTGTGTTTATCTCAGGTCCGACCCGGAATTATTTCAAGGTAACAAGGGTTGCGAAACGCTGCTCTGGCTACGGTTCACAACCTTTTTACCCTTGTGAAACCCTTGAAATATTTATGTCTCAAGGAACCCTATATAAAAATTACTATATAATATACAGGGTGGCCTAAGAGTCAGGCCCGATAAGCAAAGTATAAAAGAAAACCACTAAGATTTTTATAATTTAATTTATTAATTATCAGTCAGTTTATGAGTTACAAAATCTGTCCAAATGGCATCATTTACTTCAATAGTTTCCAACACGTTCAACACAAGACCTTCCAACATTTCTAAGCTTGGAAAAACTATATTTGAGTTTATGGCTTCAAATTGTCTTATTATGATATCCTTTAGTGCCTGGATTGTTCTAGGAAGATTATTATAAACTTTTTAACATTTGTTGTAACTGGTAAGCTACGTGGTAATTAAGAAATAAAATATTATCCTAGTGGTTTTCTTTTATACTTTGCTTATGAAGTCAGACTTTTGGGACACCCTGTATATTTATTAATGTCAAAAATGTATGTTTATTAATAAAAAATGAACCATATGTGTAAAAAAAAAACCATTTACAATGATGAAAAGTATAAGATAAATCAGGGCAATATCAACAGGGCAATGTGGGTTAAAACATTATTTCTGAAGCCAATTTAGATCATTATATTTGCTTCATTAGATCTCTAATATTTAATTAGAGATGATGATATCTCTAATATAACACCTGAGCATGTGGTTTTAGTACACAAATACTTAATTCGGAGTCGAATTTAAGATAACAAATACGGATTTAATTTTCAACTGAAAAGAGACGATTTCTGTTTATGATTTTGATTGGACGAGGACCGGCTCTCTCACACATATGACACGTTGTTAAGGTAGGCAATATATTTATGGCTCTCCTGTGTGTGGCGATAATCATCTGCACCAGAATACCTGCACCAGCAGAACACTGAGAGTATGGGGTCCCTCGGACACTCATACAGTTGTGTAGAGAGTATGGGGTCCCTCGGACACTCACACAGTTGTGTAGAGAGTATGGGGTCCCTCGGACACTCACACAGTTGTGTAGAGAGTATGGGGTCCCTCGGACACTCACACAGTTGTGTAGAGAGTATGGGTCCCTCGGACACTCATACAGTTGTGTAGAGAGTATGGGTCCCTCGGACACTCACACAGTTGTGTAGAGAGTATGGGGTCCCTCGGACACTCACACAGTTGTGTAGAGAGTATGGGGTCCCTCGGACACTCACACAGTTGTGTAGAGTGTATGGGTCCCTCGGACACTCACACAGTTGTGTAGAGAGTATGGGTCCCTCGGACACTCATACAGTTGTGTAGAGAGTATGGGGTCCCTCGGACACTCATACAGTTGTGTAGAGAGTATGGGTCCCTCGGACACTCATACAGTTGTGTAGAGAGTATGGGGTCCCTCGGACACTCATACAGTTGTGTAGAGAGTATGGGGTCCCTCGAACACTCATACAGTTGTGTAGAGAGTATGGGGTCCCTCGGACACTCATACAGTTGTGTAGAGAGTATGGGGTCCCTCGGACACTCATACAGTTGTGTAGAGAGTATGGGGTCCCTCGGACACTCATACAGTTGTGTAGAGAGTATGGGGTCCCTCGGACACTCATACAGTTGTGTAGAGAGTATGGGGTCCCTCGGACACTCATACAGTTGTATTGAGAGGGAGAGGAAGTAGTGTTGGAGTCTGATCATCAGTCTTCCAGGTGGATTTCAATAAGACTTAAAATTTACAGATATAATTCTTCACTCTTAAGCCCCAACAGAAGTTGAAACATTTCAACATTTCATTTCGCAACATGATTTTTCCAAAGATTTAATCTTTTATATTAAGGATTTTGTCGCTTGAAGTCAATGCATTTTGTGGAGGATCTTGCAGTGACTTGTTCGAGTGATTCACGTGAGGAACAAATGTGTGCTGAGTAGTTTAGCTTCTGCAGCTAGTCTTCATTTTCGAAGCATTTGCATATGATAAGGATTAGTCTGGTTATTAGTATGTCATGCGGAGCTCCGAGTGATGTCTCCCGGAGGCTGAGGGCTCCGCGGACCCCGGTTGACAATCGCTGCTATACAAAGCACATCCGATAGAGATAGATAAGTAGATAAATGCGCACATTCATAGCACCCAAAACTGTAGTTGTTGTGTAAGTTGATAGAATAAATGGTTGCAATAGAATTATGTTTTTAGGTAAAACAAATAAATGTGTACTTATATAATTTAGAACAATAATGGCAGACGTGGTGGTTAAGGGGCAATTATGGGAACCTTCAGAACCACTGGCACAACTGAGGCACATTCACGCGCTCTACGGGCTCACCATAGCCCGTGCTACTTGGAACTGTTTGTTCCAAGTAGCGAATCTTTAACAACAACATTACGCGCTCTGAGATTGTGGAGTGAAGGTCTAGGGCAGCGGTGAGGCCTACTGGTCGCTGTAGCCGAGGTCACAATATATCACCCACTCTCCTGTTTACATGTTACTCCTTGTAACTGTGTCAACCATCGTTCATATATTGACACAATGGACAATTAGACACTAGAATTTGGTACTATTAACTTTATAGAGTCCGGGAAAAATAAAGCTAAAATCAAATGCAAATATTCCTTGGCTTAATATAGCACATATATGTACTATATTAAGCCTCAGAGTCGTGTGTTAGGCCATGGATGGTTAGGGTTAATTTGCAACATAAATAAACAAACTTTTCCGGTCTGTCCAAATTCAATAGTAGCAAAATTGTACATGGTAGTGTCCGTTAGGTGAGTGTGTGAACCATTGTGCCCATGGTGAGTGTAAGTTGTGTCAGGAGGAGGACGGGCTGTAATGTCTGCACGTCACGGAGCACCACCACCAACACGACACGTTACGGCAACCATTGGGTAAGTAACTAGGTATTAGACAGAGTACAAGTAGCAACAAGGACACGGATCAGTGTTCCGTGCTGGAGGTTGAGAGACGTGACACTTACGGAAGGCTGGCAGGCCAGGGAAGGGCAGCGGCAGGTCCGGGAGCCCACGGAAGATGTCGCCGCCCACCACCCCCGGGTACCACCACGACTCCACGCCCACCCCATCACCCTCCCGCGGGCGGCCCAGGGCAGGGGCGGGAGGAGGAGAGCCGTCACGGGCGGGAAGTTTGCGACACTCCGAGCCTCGGCCGGGCACGGCTCGACCGAAATGGAACCTGGGGAAGGAGTTTTCTGGCGGCGAGGGCGAGGGAGTGGGCGGGACGTCGTCGTCCTCGTCGTTGTCGGGGTCGTCGTCGCCCCGGCCGGGCGTGATGGTCAGGCCGGGGAAGAGCGTCACGCCGGAGACCTCACGCCGCTTGGAGGCACCTCGCTCGGCTTCCCGCTGACTCAAGTCCAGTGGCGTCGGCGTCGGCACCTCGCGGGCGGGTAGCGTGGGCGTCGGTACCCCCTGGGAAGATGACGTGGGCCTCGGTACCCCATGGGCGGGTGGCGTGGGCGTTTGTACCCCATGGGCAGATGACGTGGGCGTCGGCACCTCGTGGGTGGGTGGCGTGGGCGTGGGGACTTTGCGGGATGGTGTGTGTAGCGGCGTGTTGTGGTCGTGCTCCAGCGGCAGCGTAACGTCCAGGTGAGGGCTGGCGGGGGCCGAGTGAGGCTCCACCTTAGGTCTAGGTGACGCAAGGCGGGTCGAGTGGTCGCTCATCCTGAGGGAGGTGAAGGGCTCCGGATGCCCTTACCTGTGAGAGGTACTGAGGTTACCTGTAAGCCGGAGAGATGTCAGGTGTGTCCGGCACTGACCGTTGTCAGCAGTAACCGCCAGTTGTATACAGTCAAGTGTGCTGCTGTCAACACTACTGGCTGGATATAGATGGGTAACTCCTGAGCACCAAGAAAAAGATCACCGGGAGATAATACACATGGTTCTTATCCACAGCATGAGTGTGTTATGAGGTGGTCGGGTGAGGAGGTGGCGGCCAGGTGTGGGCCTCACCTGACCCCACTACCACGTGCTCAGGTGAGCAAGGGGGCGGGGCCTCCACAACTACCACCATACATAACTCTCACGTTAAATATTTACAAATAGTTATATTTCAGTAACGCTGGGAGGAGACCTCATGACTGGTAAAGTATTAACATATCATACAGCTTAACAATTTCTGATTAGATCATTTTTCCTTACAAGTATTCTCGAACACAAGATCGAAGGTGGGAGGAGCGAGATGAGTGACGTCACTAATATGGGCTGAACTATTGGCTGTACGGGAATGATGTCACAAGTGTGCTACACGCCATTGGCTGACCAGAAACTGTAGCAGCAGAGGGGCGTGGGTGGACCCTCTCCTAAAAACCGGGCCATAAACTGTTAACATTCAGATAACGTACGAGCAATCAGTAGTGGAGAGTAGCAAATATTACGACGGCCTTTTAAAAGTATAGTTTAGCGGTGCGTGAGTATAGATGTGTGAGCGTGGCGGGGCCCAGGCGGCCAGACCCCACATTCTCTCAGAGTACGGCCCAAGTCGTTCAGAAATTTCCTGATCTATTTGGGGTTATTTATATATAAGGAGACGTGAAGCTTACAGTAGTCACATGTTGCTTATTGACCAAAGAAGAGAGTAGCAGCTAGAGCTGGGAGACATCACCCACCGCCGGCTGCCTGCGCCACCACAACATTAAGTAAACAATATTGCTGCTCTCCCGCCAATCACAGGCCCTCGTGGTTCTCGGCCCCGCCCACTCCCTGTACTAGCCCCGCCCACTCCCTGCACGAGCCCCGCCCACTGGCTGGCTCTCAATGCCACTTGCATGGTCGTCATTAACTTAGGAGACCAATATCCTGGATCACACCAAGCATAAACTCCACATGATCATAAACGCAGTATTATACAAACAGTTTACCAGCTTTGCAATACACATTTTAGCACTGCAAGCGAACCTGTGCAAGAGGAAATGGCAGGGGGGGGGGCGGGTGTCCCGGACCTTCCCTCCCCCCTCCCCCCCTCCACTGGTCATCAATCATGGTTACAAATTCTAGTGCGGGGAATGGTCCATTACCGTAGCCTAACTGCCCGTAAGTGGTTAATGAATTGATGCTGTAATTGTGGGCAACTCATCGTCCTGCGGGGCGCCGCCACCCTCAACTGTCTCACCCGCACGTGGCGGCCGGGGATCCCGCCCCCCCCCCTCCCGTGGCCAGGTCCAGGGCTCTGGTGGCCCTTGTCCCAGGACCAGCGCCTGGTGGCCCTTGTCCCAGGACCAGGGCCTGACGAGTGGAAGATGGTTCAGTATTATTGGTCGTTAACATTGAAGTTGATTACATGTAAATAAAGTTGTAAATATAGTCACATATAAGGAAATGTGACCATAAAGTTAAACGAAGGATTCTCAACTTTTACCCAAACTGACCTCCAGTTTAAACAATAGATGGCGCATATTTAAAATATTTTCATTAATCCTTGCTCTACCTTGAGCCCCAAGGTGGAGGCTCAAGGTGGAGGCTCAAGGTAAGTTAATTATGACGAAACACTAAGCCAGTATGACTATATGGGCGTGGAGACTCGGTCAGGGGGGGGGGCTCTCCCTCCCTGCGCCCTGGACTGGACTCCTTGCAACCCTCCCCCCCCCCCCGGGCTCACAGGACCCGCGCCTCTCCCAGTAGGTGAAGCAGAATGTTTAAGAACTATGGAGTGTAGAGCGAGTTATGATAACAGACGGGCTGTCCGCCTTGCTGACACAATGTTATGATAACAGACGGGCTGTCCGCCTTGCTGACACAATGTTATGATAACAGACGGGCTGTCCGCCTTGCTGACACAATGTTATGATAACAGACGGGCTGTCCGCCTTGCTGACACAATGTTATGATAACAGACGGGCTGTCCGCCTTGCTGACACAATGTTATGATAACAGGCGGGCTGTCCGCCTTGCTGACACAATGTTATGATAACAGACGGGCTGTCCGCCTTGCTGACACAATGTTATGATAACAGACGGGCTGTCCGCCTTGCTGACACAATGTTATGATAACAGACGGGCTGTCCGCCTTGCTGACACAATGTTATGATAACAGGCGGGCTGTCCGCCTTGCTGACACAATGTTATGATAACAGACGGGCTGTCCGCCTTGCTGACACAATGTTATGATAACAGACGGGCTGTCCGCCTTGCTGACACAATGTTATGATAACAGACGGGCTGTCCGCCTTGCTGACACAATGTTATGATAACAGACGGGCTGTCCGCCTTGCTGACACAATGTTATGATAACAGACGGGCTGTCCGCCTTGCTGACACAATGTTATGATAACAGACGGGCTGTCCGCCTTGCTGACACAATGTTATGATAACAGACGGGCTGTCCGCCTTGCTGACACAATGTTATGATAACAGACGGGCTGTCCGCCTTGCTGACACAATGTTATGATAACAGACGGGCTGTCCGCCTTGCTGACACAATGTTATGATAACAGACGGGCTGTCCGCCTTGCTGACACAATGTTATGATAACAGACGGGCTGTCCGCCTTGCTGACACAATGTTATGATAACAGACGGGCTGTCCGCCTTGCTGACACAATGTTATGATAACAGGCGGGCTGTCCGCCTTGCTGACACAATGTTATGATAACAGACGGGCTGTCCGCCTTGCTGACACAATGTTATGATAACAGGCGGGCTGTCCGCCTTGCTGACACAATGTTATGATAACAGGCGGGCTGTCCGCCTTGCTGACACAATGTTATGATAACAGACGGGCTGTCCGCCTTGCTGAGGCTAAATTATGTTTGTGCCTTGATTGATTGATTGATAAAGTTTAAGCCACCCAAAAGGTGGCAAGGGCATGAATAGCCCGTAAGTGGAGCCATTACCAATAGCTGATACTGGAGATCTGTGGATGGATAGGTTTCTCTGGGGGAAGGGGGCGGTCTCTGAGGGTTAGCTCTACCAGTTATAGTGGTGGTGAGGTAGTGAAGGTCTCGAGGTCTTATGTTAGTGTGAGTCTTGCTGCGAGGTGTCATGGCTGTGTTGTTGTCATTGTTGGGTGACGTGGCCTCCATGACGAGGTGTTGTACGGTGTAGGGGAAGTGTGGCGGCGATGGAGCTCTTACTGAGAGTTCCTGGACTGAGGCGTCCGGGGCGTAGTCCGCTGTTGGTGGTTGTGGTCTCACAGCCGGAGGTTGGCTCTGGAGTCCATCAGTTGTGGTAGAAGCTGGTTGTGTCTTGTGTATTGTCGGATACCCAATGTCATCTTAGAATTACACACTAAGTATCTCATCTTAGAATTCAAAATTATGGGGCTTGGTTTCCATCAAGTAGGTCAAGGCTCTTGGGCCACCAGTTGTGGGGGTGAGGCGTCTCATCTTGGGCCACCAGTTGTGGGAGTGGGGCGTCTCATCTTGGGCCACCAGCTGTGGGCGTGGGGTGTCTCATCTTGGGCCACCAGCTGTGGGGGTGGGGTGTCTCATCTTGGGCCACCAGCTGTGGGAGTGGGGCGTCTCATCTTGGGCCACCAGCTGTGGGAGTGGGGCGTCTCATCTTGGGCCACCAGCTGTGGGCGTGGGGCGTCTCATCTTGGGCCACCAGCTGTGGGGGTGGGGCGTCTCATCTTGGGCCACCAGCTGTGGGGGTGGGGCGTCTCATCTTGGGCCACCAGCTGTGGGAGTGGGGCGTCTCATCTTGGGCCACCAGCTGTGGGGGTGGGGCGTCTCATCTTGGGCCACCAGCTGTGGGAGTGGGGCGTCTCATCTTGGGCCACCAGCTGTGGGAGTGGGGCGTCTCATCTTGGGCCACCAGCTGTGGGGGTGAGGCGTCTCATCTTGGGCCACCAGCTGTGGGGGTGGGGCGTCTCATCTTGGGCCACCAGCTGTGGGGCGTCTCATACTGGGCCACCATCTGTGGGGGTGGGCCAAAGACGGAACCAAAGAGCCAGAGCTGAACCCCCACAAGCACAACAAGGGTAGTAGAGGCAGAGGTACACACAGAGAACATAAAGAGGGAGAGAGAGTGGTTGTGTGTGTCAGAGCCTGGGAGTGTGAGGAGCATGTAGTAAGATGTTAATAATAAGGTGTAATAAAGTGATAATGAGGCGGCGTGCTGTGCGAGGAGAGGTGTGGGTAACTGGTGCCCCGGGCCGCCCTGGCCTCTGCCTCCAATATGGCGGCGCCCACACTAGGGGACAACCACCCTCCCGCCCTCATCTCTTCCCACCACACTTCGCTCCCTGTTTCATTCCTCTTCGTTTACCCATTACATTCAACAACATATTTTGTTATCAGATAACACAGACATAAGTACTCTCTCAGAGCACTCAAGTGTAAATGTGTGTACATTATTATTAGATGGACTGAAGGTAAGTACCATTGTGTTGAGAGACTGACACTGGCGCCGTAGAGAGCTGTGAGGTTACCTGCTGCAGGAGACAGTACCAACCCTCACCAATTACTTGTTCATTAACACTCCACGAACCAGTTAGACCAGTTTAATTAGCAGAGCTCAACCACGTCTCTATTAAATGATTATCACAAACTTGATCAAATTGGTCAGCTGTTCCTTCTCTTGCCGGAGTGGCGGCCATAGTTCACCTTCTGACTTCACAATTTACCCAAAATTTGCTTGTCCATTTTAAAGAATGAAGAACAATTTCTATTTATACTCTAAGCTGCATCACTTATGAATCAGCCTACAGTTTAGACCTACAGTATTGTCTTGTGTATGACCCTCTGTCCTGCGTGACAGTGAATACTAGCATTATCCTCACTTTAATAAGACTATCAAAATCCTCAGATTAGGCAAAATTGTAATTAATTTTGTCAATAAAGATGTTAATAATAATAAATTCTGACTTCACTTTTGAACTTTTAAATTTTGCCCCGAGGGGCGAGTTTATTGGGCAGCGTCACTCATCCTGTGAGTGGACACACCGCCATAGTGACAGTATTGGGCAGCGTCACTCATCCT